CTCGGGCACCGGGCGCATATTAATGTACTATATGCACAGTCGATACATATATACGTACATATAATATATATATATATATCTCGATATGTATATATATATATATATATATGCATATATATATATATATATCCTTCGAATCAAAAATCTATAAGACGTTCTTCGACAAAAACACAAAAACTAAATACATCCCCAATATCCTTCATATATATATATATAAACAAGAAACGTAATGTAGAAAATAATTATCTTCTCGTCAGCTTTGATTACAAAATAAAAATGCACAAAATAATGACACATCAATTTAGAATAAAATCCCGATTCAATTCAGCAAGTAATAAAACAAATATTTCAAGAATTAACTGTCTTTTGTAATAAAATATTACGTATCCCATGATCATAATATCATCATCTACGTTATTACATCAACTCTGTTTTTATTTTTCTTTCGCATCAAACTCTATAAAAACTTGTAATTAACAAGTTAAGACCAGCTTGTTACAACATATTACGTATCTCATGATCGTCATAATCTCATCTCATCTATATTATTGCATCAACTCTGTTTTTATTTTTCTTTCGCAACAAACTACATCAAACCAGAAAAATCAACAATGAATAATTCAATTTTATTCACGAGTTGTTGAAAGCAACGTCTAATTAGATATATCTCAGAAATTTATACCCTCCGAATTTAGAATAGATGGAAACTCTCGGAAGAATAGAACTTATTCGTTTTCCAAAAAACTACAAGGTAATAGAAATCATAGCAAAAAGCGACCTATTCTGCTCGAACTCATAAGACATTTCTCCATCGATTTCTAAATTTCAGCGCTGTGGGGAAACATGAACATCTTTTGTTCAGAATATCTTCAAACCTCGGTTATCTGAAGGCAAAAGGAAAGCTTTCATTTCAAACTGTAGTGACATCGCAGAAATACATAAATGTGAAAATGTATCGTTTTTCATACTCAGAGTTTAGGGCTAGGCGGTGCCTAACAGCCTTGAATAACAAGGTTCTTTGAATAACAAGGTACCCTCAACCACATTCCCAATGCATGCAGATATTGCCTCACACACAAAGAAGAACTCAAGGGCCGAGCTCAAGGCGAAAAGGCCGCGCTCGTGAGTTGGGCCTTGCACACGAACTATAGGCTGATTTATAGCATAAGTCATGCAGTTTCTGCGCGTCGAAAGGGGCTGAGCCTGTTGCTTGGCAGGCTTCATGAGGTAGGAGGAGAGATAGGAGTGAAATGCTGGACCGGAGTCTGTGTCTAGGAGAGGAGTCGATGTTGCAGTGTTTACGCTCACACGGCTCGGACTTGCCAAATGAGTTTTCAGGATCTCGCAAGGGTTCAAAGCTGTTTTGCGACTTTCCACATGCAGGCTGAGGAACTCAGGAACCTGGCAGTTGAAGCTTGTGCACCTCTGGTGCCAAATTTACAGGTCTGGAACTTCTTCCCCTGAGGATGCACGCAGAAGATTCGAGACTCAGAGCCCGGGTGGCCAAACGCCTCTATCCGGTATCTTCTCTTATTGAGAAGGAAATGCCGAACGCATAAAACTTCAGAGTACCTGTTAGTAACCCGGCGGGAACTGGCCAAAACCCTCGAGGTAAAGTCCCAGTCTGACTCCGGGAGACACTGTGGTCTCAAAAACTCGAGGGCACCGTCCTTACGGCTCTTTAACCTTTAGTTCAAGGGTATGATCTTAGGCAATCTGAGGTCCCTAAGTAGAAGGGTTCCTTCCTGGAACTCCCAACTCGTAGCGGCGCTTCCCCACCTCGTGTCCCGCAAGCACGACATTGCAGCTTCCACTCGTGACCTCGATGGCTCGCGGGGCACCCGTCATGTCGATGCCTTGTGGCTAAGTTTACAACCTGAGCCACTACTCTCAAACCCTGAAACCCTCAGACACTAACACTCACCCGAAACCAGAAACCTCTAACCATTAAAATGAAAAAACAGAACCCTTCGGTACCCTAGTCACCTGAGTACAGGGCCGCGTGGCATCTCCCCACTGAGGCCCTGGCATCCCACACCCGGGCAACTGCATCCTCGCGGAGTTTAACGTTCCAGGACTGAGATCCAAGCTTTTAGGGCTTGCGATTTAAGGCTTTCGCGGATGTTAGAGCTTGTAGGTTTACTTAGGAAAATATACAGGCTCGAAGACGGGACGGTTCATCTTACTGTTTTCCGTCCGGATGGTTTTCACTCTTTCTTACAGGCCTTGGGGCTTACTTTCCCGCGCATTGGCAGCACCTCCAGTAGAGCCCTCATCAAATGCCGACTAGTACCTGCCACCTATGGTCGAGGCAAACACTGCTCCAAAGAATCCTAAGCCCAAGCCATATAATCCCGGAAACACTATCAGTATCATATGCCCTTTCTGCATCCAAGCTTGGATCGTCGGCCAGGACGGACACACCAGCATCACGCCAAGCCGTAGCAGTACTGGCTGCAGCCCATGATCTTACGATACCAATTTTGACCGACAAGTTCAACTGCAAGCACAAGGTGAAAGGTCTTGAAGAAGAGCAGTACGCCTTGATTGCAAAGAGGGGGCAACAACATCGTGACACGCTGCAGTGGACGTGAGGACAAAGCTTTGAGCATGAAGCCTCAACCCTGCGAAGACAAAGCTCCGTCCTCTCCGCCCGTGACAAGCTGAACGCTGTCAGGGCTAAATGTAGCACAAGCCACCTTGGCGACACTTTCATGTTTGCAACCTAGACTATCAGTCTGAATCTTGAAACGTTGCGTTTCAAATTCTGGATCTGCCGTCATGGCTATATTTGGGTCTGGGCGGTTCGTAAGGGCACCTCCCCAGTTTAGGACTCTTTGCTTTAGGGTGTCGGTGTTGTATTGTGGGCCTGGATTTGGGGTCAATGGGGCTGGTAAGAGGGATCGACGTAAGGAGAGTCTACGAAAACGTATCACCGCAACCAGCTTGGTCATGAGCCATAAGCGTTGACATGGAGAGCAGGGAAGAGGAAAGGAACTTCCTTTCAGTTGTTGGCTCGCTGCTTCGATGCCGAAAGAAGAGAGACTTATTTGTGCTAAACTTTGGCCTAGTCTAGTGGCAAAAATACTGGTAGTTTCAGTGACGAGGATGGCAGCACAAGGCAACACTGCCCACTGCTTCGTTGTCTATTCTCAGGATTCCGAGACTCAAAACACCAGAAACCTCAACCCTTAGCTTTAAATTCTGGGCCACTCAGCTGAGAAACGAAAACAGCCGAACAGGCTATGGCCCTTGCCGGATCAGCGTGGCCCATCTCCTGGACCTTGTATCTATGGACTGCTGTTGCTGTTGAAGTGGTTGCCACTGCTGCCGTTGCTGCTGTTGTCGTTGCTGATGTTGTTGCTGTTGTTGTTGTTGTTGTTGCTGCTGCTTTTGGCGTTGCTCTCGCTGTTGCTGCGTGGTCATGGCTGTTGCTGCTGATGTGACTTGCCTGCTCTTCTGCAGTGCTCTTGAAGCTGCTGCCTCCGCCGAGTATGGAAACCTTCACCATCGATCATGAAATCCATAACTTTGGGTCGAGGGCGCTTCAGGTCTGAGGTGTATGGGAGTTCCGTCCTTAAGCGTTTTGGGCGCCATTGCCGAGATTAAAGAAAAGGCTAAGGGTTCAGGCTCAAAGCAGCATTCCCCAACACTGCGATTCCCATTGCGGTACGCTCCCAACCGCTTTCGCCGAAAATCCGGGCTGAGCTTTAGGCGGTGGGGGGGAGGGGGGGTGGGAGCACAGGACACCTCAGGCCACGGCCAGCTTGCCCGTAGCTACCTCTCAGGCCGCCCATGCTCGGAGAGGCTTCCGTGGTTTAATTGGTGTGGGGGTTTGCTTTTCGGGCGAGGAGAACAAATGGGAAGCATGTGGACTCGACTCTACACCGTGCGGGGAAGATGGCGGCATGAAGCCCGATGCTGGTTTTCTTGACGCTTACGATCAGATGAACCCAGGATAATCCTGGAAAGGTCTGCAAATGGGTTTGTTAGGGTCCAGAGGCGCTCAACGTAAGACACCTTCGGCTCTCCCAAGACGGCCGGACGGGGCTCGCGGGCTGAAGCGCTGCTGGAGACGCCCTTAAAGCAGGGAAGCCCTGCTAAACTCGGACCTTCATGCAGCGAGTTCTGAATTCTAGGCCCCGAACCAAATCCGACCCCGAAAACCTGAAATTGGACATGCACGGCCTGCCAAACGAAAACCTTGTGGTTCGCGCAGATCGTTACAACCTGCCGCGTGCGTCAAATCGGTTCGGAACACTTCCGTTCCCTACCCGAAAGCCGTCGGCACAGAACTTCTGTATTCCCGAATCACTGGACCAAGTTTCGAGGGTGTCATTGCTAATTACAATCCGGAGCAACACTGTAAGTCCTGTTCAAGCCATTTGGGGAAAACAACGTCTCTCTCTTTGTCTCGCAAATTCGGCTAGACACGACCTTGAACCCAAATACAAAACGACCTCTCCCGGGCGCACCAAGGATCCATCAGCACAGAAGTTTGCACGCCTGAGCTGCGCCTCGTGTCGGAACTCCTGTTGGCAAACTTCGAGCCAGGTACACGGCTGTACGACAAGCTGAGGGGTGGGGCCGTTGCTGTCCAAGTGCTCAATGCTCAACGAGCATTTCCGAGCGAAAGCTCGTCTCCTGGAGGCACCGACCATCAGCGCAGTTCCACAGTCGTGCAATCCAATCGCAACCTCGGAAGGTATGACGCAAGCTTCTCCACGTGAGCGTCCTCCTTACTTGGCATAGAGTTAGACCAAAAGTCCCACACAGTCCATGTGGCGGTCGCCTGACCTACTTATCGGGGCACAGCCCAACAATGAGGGCACTCAGCCCCTGCAGCAAGCCTCCCCAGTGGGCGGGTGGGTGGGTGCCTGCCTATGTCTACGCATGACATGCGTTCCGCGGACAGTTTTGCGAGCGAACCCTTCTGCAAGAGCATAAACCCCACTTGACGTATTACGATAATTAACTCCTTTCAGCGAATGCGGGCACCATAGTTTATCTTGCAACAATTCCTGGGCATGCCTGGGGATTCCTGGAAGCAGACCTGAAGCCCGGAAAAGTACACCATTAGCTGGTTCAAGCACTCTTGTATGCTTCGGTCGAGACATGTGTCCTTTGGGCGCGGCGACTTACGTATTTGGTGCTTCCACGCCCTTCCGCGGAGCAACACCTTCCGCAGCCCTTCCGCGCGCGCAGTCCCAGCAAGATTTCCAAATCAAGTGAAAGTTTTGTGTCCAACTCTAATCCTCCGTAAGAAGCGGACAAAAAAACGCAGCTCATGTAAACATCAATCTCATTCCATCACACGTAGATGTACAGGCGTGCCCACCGCCCACCACCAACCCAAGCACATTCACATGGACAAAGGGAGAGAGAAAAGGAAGCAGGAGGCTGAGCGAGACGGGCAGAAACAGAATGTACGAGGTATACACACACATATATATATATATGTATATGTATGTATATATAATATATATAAAGAGAGAGAGAGAGAGAGAGAGACAGGGAGGGAGAGAGAGAGAGAGAGGGAGAGAGAGAGAGAGAGAGAGCGAGCGAGCGAGCGAGCGAGAGCAAGAGCAAGACCGAGAGCGCACGCGCGCGCACGCGCGTTGGAGCGAGTCAGCCGAGCACGAAATCACAGCGCACAGGAGGAGCAGGAAAGGCCTGTTGTTTCGGACGTCAGGATGACGTGCAATACATACCTGGGGCCCAAGCCAACACCCTACACCCGAACCTCCAGTCCCAACCCCGCCGGTTCCAATCAAACTGCATGGGGCCTGACACCGGAGAGGCCCCGTAATCACACCACCACAAAAAACAGTTGGAGAACAAGGATTACAATAAATAACTCAAGTACGAGTACATTCTACCGGCATGAACCATGCCCTCAACTTCCCATAAATCATCATAAATCCATATGTGGCGATACCGCTTTTGCTTGGCGAAGTCCGTCCGTCGTGGGGGTTGCTGGGAATTGGGGTGGGGTGCATGCTTGGGCGGCACGGGGTGCACCCAGGAGTTGTGGGATAGCTCAGGGGCGTAATCATTATCGGTGCGGTGTCTGGAGCCCCACGGCCCAGTCAACCCGGGGAGCTCCGGCAAAGAGGCATGCCATCTGCCGTGGAGTGGAGGGAGTGCACAATCAGTGACAGGTGCGAGCGTCTTGCCGGTGTGCGTGCGAGCCCCGCCACACTCTGGTCACAACGGCCACGTCAACAGGTCGCCACACGCAGTCAACTCAAAGGAGTGTTAAAGTGGATCCTTTCCGTCGGTATCCTTCGGTCAACCGGTTTGTGGGAAGGTCTGCGGATTCTGTCGGCAGCTGAGGCCTGCCGAGAGCACGGCACGCAGCGACTATCATGGAGCCGTCAGGGGAGAAGTCCTTGTAGCAGGGGGCTTGTGCATTCAGCACTTTTGGCTGTGGGCTGATGTGGGTGTGGTTTAGAGCCTGACTCCAGTATTCTTGTACCCCCGAAAATTTCGTAGCACGACAGCATGGGCTGTTGTGCAGCCAACTCTTGAAAGCTGCACGCGGAACCCTGTGCCCATGCTGCCACTGCATTTACCACTCATTACTGCCTGGTCGCCAGGGCAGCCAAACCCTAAAACCCTGACAGGCTTTGGACTTCGATCTCCATTCTATGGTCGCCATTCCAAGGAATGGTGCCTCATTACTGGCTCTTGCTATGAAGTTCATGGCGGACTGCAACATCAGTTTACCGCTTGCTTGTATGTTTTTTGGCACTCGCACTCGACAGAACGGGGCTCGTGGATTCCGAGCTTTCACTAGGGAGGATCACATGCTTTGTGGTTATGGTCTCCAGTACTTGTCCCTCAAGCAAGCATCCTTCGTGACTTTGTTGAGGGCCCCATCCTATTTAGATAAGCATCCTGAACGGTACTGAAGCCTAAAAGCTGGAGCTTGACGGCAACTCTCTCGTGTCAAATTACACTGGGCAGGATGCTTATTGAAAATGTGCTCTGAATCCCGTCTGAGACATAGTCGGAAAGGTCTTCTGTACCACGAGCCGTGAAAAGCCAGGCGCAGCTGGGTGTTCTGCAGGCTTCTGACACTTTTGCAACTGGTCAGAAGTAGGATGCCTTTTTCCTCTCCTGACGCCCTGGACTGCCATGTGCATGACTCAGCTCCGAACAGATGTGTGTACGAGCCTCAGGTGGAAGGCTTTGCTTTCGGCTACGGGCGGAAGGGCAGGCGGCTGCCTTGTCTTCTGTTTGTCGTAGAAGCGCGCACACACACACAAGGATGCGCGGCTGTGGGCAAGTCAAGTATTTCTACGCTGCTCCAGTTGCGTTTTGGGCTGTTGTCTGGGACAGTTCCACACCGTGACAAAGCTTCGACGGGCTCGCAGTGTTTCAGTTCGTTCCTACAGTAGTCCTCCCGGCAGTGAGGAAGTCGGCACGTAGAACGACAACCTCAACTGGTAAGTCATGTGACCACGGGTCGAGTCTACTCTGAACATTGGTTCGTTATCTCAGTTAACGCTTCTCTCTAACCACTGGCAGGTACCTAAACGCGCGACAACCGTCGATGGGCACGCGTGCAGAAAACCCTGTGCTTCCGAGTTTAAGGTTCCTCATGGTCGTCTCAACCGCTCAAACTTCAGAGGTCCCTGAGCACCAAGATGCTTACACGCGACGCTCAGGAAATCTCATGCATGACTTGGCGCTTGGCCCTGTGTGCCGTTGACAGAACTCACGTTCCTGATAGCCCCTTTTCTGGCAGCCACAAACCCTCAACACTTTCCCGAAACACACTTTTGCGGAAACCTCCTGTAAGCTTCCTGAAGCTTCTACGCATACTACATCTCAGTCTCCTGCAGCCCATTGCCAAGGCTCCTCCGGTGGCGTGCGGCTTGAGGTCCGAGTCCGCCGTTCACGGTGTGTGGGGAGGGCAGGGTTTCGGATTGGAGTTCGCCGCTTTTCCCTCTCGCATGGCTTGGAACTTGGGGTTTACATTCACGGACAAAGAACCGGTCTGGGATGTTGGACACGCAGGTCGACAGAACTGAACCCGCTAAAGCAGCTTCGATCCTATCCAAGCTCACGGCCGTGATCTGAGCTAACCTGAAATCCCAGAACGGGCCTGGGGCCTTGGACTCACGTCCTACCTGTGTGTTTGAACCCTAACCTCTTCAGGCTAGAAGAGGGCAGTCTTCTTGAGAGATATCAGCAAAGTTCACGAGCAGTCAGTTCTTTAACAAAAAATGATAGCCCTAAACCGAAGATTTCGTAGATCGGACGTAGCCCTTGGCCCCAGACCCACAATCTTTTTACTTGCAAGCAACTCGGCACTTCTGAACCCCAACAAGATTTTTTGTGTTTGGGGGAATGTTGGGCCTGGACGGACAAGCATATGACACTCACGAGAGGATTGCAATATTACAGCCTTCTGGGGGCAGGGAGTCTGGAAGTCCGCATGCCCCCTTCGTTGGCCCGAGACAAAGTCGAGGATGCTACGACCAACCCTGCACGGCGCTGTTGGATTTACGCTTTCAACTCCCTGTTCTTGTTAGCCCTGATGCCAAAAACGCGCGTAGTGATATTCGACAAACGAGAAGAACAATGATGATACTCAGTATGCTACCAAGAAAGTATTGTATCCCAGACCCCGTGAAACCTGTGAACCCCAAACCGGCCTCAGGACCTGTCCGGACCTGGCATCCCGCAGCAAGACCTCGAGAGAACCAAAACCACCACTGCCACCAAGTTGCCGCGCCCATCATGACCATTGAATGGAGCACAAAGGTAATGGCTGTTTTGCTTCGGATCCAACCCTACCTTCATCCCATCGCATGATGCCCTCAATACGGATTTCAGTTTACCTTACCGATTCCTTCGAAAACTTTGTGAGAGTAAATCTTAGCTTTGAGATGCATTCCAGTCGCAGTCTCAGAACAAGCCGCCCTCCCTCGTCTTCCTGGCGACACTTTCTCAGCGCAAGGTTTGTGCACCTGCGCAAGCTGTATCCAGAATCGTTCCTGAACCACATCATGTTTCAGCTCCCCATTTGTGCAGCCCATCGGAAAAAACGGGTCCCCGCCATGGCTCCCGATCCGATTCCGGGACCGAAACCCCGTCTAGGAAGACCTCACACGCACAACTTCAGCTGCAAACTTTTGCGCCGCATTGGTGACATGGTGCGCCGTCTTGAACACAGGAGCCATGCCGGAATGCAGCGCTGTTGCTTTAGAAAAATCGCCTGCACTAAGACCCAAGTGCTTCCGACAATGGGTTCTGGTTAAAATATTACTTCCCTTTTGTCCAGTTGAATTCACGTGCTAGGCGAGCACCCGAACCGGGTTCTACTGCTGAGAATGAAAATCATATTACTTCATGCAGCTTACATCTTGTATTCCGAAACTGCAAAGCAACGATTTCGACGGCTACTCAGCTACTTTGTTCTTGCCTTATGCTACATGCAAGCTGAACTGAGGGCCAAACGCCCTGCGTGTCGAGGGCGCTGGTCAGCAACTCAGCTTTGGCGATTTCGAGTACCAGCGTCCCACACCCTGACCTAAAATGGGCATGCGACCGTGGAAACTATGTCCGAAGCGGCTTCTAGAATTCTAGGGTCTATAAATGCACACCCCGGGATGAAGTTGCCTTCCCATGCTCCATGAAGCAGACAATAGGTTCCCTTCCGTTCTTCCCAGACATTCCCAGAAAAGAGAACGGCACGGGCATGCCTGATGAAGCACTCATGAGAAATGTGCCTGAGGCCCGTGGCCATGGTGCTGTCGGGCGAAATCTCGGCGATGGACACAGAGCCGCCTGAGTGGCTCTCGCCTATGCACAGGATAATGCAGGGGATTTTTGTATCCAAATTCGTTCTTCTGCTTGGTATGACCATCGCTAGTTCTTGGAGAGCTTTCGACCGCTTGGCCTGCCTCGGTAGCTGCCTGGTGGTGCTGATTGGAACTTGACGCTGTGCATAAATGACTTGGGAGGTTTCCAGACAAACAGCCTTGTTAACCCTTTCAAACCTTTCCTCATTGAAATGAACAACGAACAAACGGGGCCCTGGGATGCTGACGTCGAAGCGCAGACTTCCTCTGAGCTTCTGAACGCTGAACCTCCTTTCTTTGGCCACAATGTACCTTCATCTCTATCTCCCCACATGCTTTGATATGCATATGCTGCATATATCACATACAGATCTCACTCGGGCTCCAACCATGACCCTGAAGTGTCAGCAGGCACTTGCCGAAGACGGGCTCCCACACACGCGCCGTGCCATCAGTGGAGGCCTCAGTTCTGTTGAGCGGGAGCACCGAAAGTCTGATGTTGAGAAGACAAGCTGGTCGCCATGAGACGTGCATTAGGGGTTCAACTCTTCTAAGACGGACGGGGCAAAACTCAGGTTTGGAATTCGGGGCAGCGCAAATCCGAACGAAGAGTTTCGCAAACACATCCCTCACAGCCCCCGAGCAAGACCTCCATACCCTAGCGAGTGGCAGCGAACAGGTCTGCTATGAAGCCTCGCCACTTCCTTCGCACCCGCCATTCAGAAGCTAAAGCATGAGCCCAAGTACAATCCCAAGTGGAACAGCAGGGCCTGTGGCTTGGGTGGGCCGTGGCTCTGACAATGAGTGTTACCTTTCTATGCTCCGGACTTTCTCCGTGAGACCCTAGGAGCTCGGAGCAGTAACAGTATAGGGGTCTAGGCGCAACAATGCGCTACATGTAGGGGTCATATTTGTTAAAAGTGACAAAACGCTTGGTGCCCAGGCATGCCATGCTCATGCTAATCGCAGCTGTTGGTATCTGTAGGTGGGATCGACAGCACAAGCGTCATGCAAGCGCACCATGCAACGAGCAGAAAGTGATGCTGGAGCTCTAGCCCCTTTCTGTATCTCTGTCTCTCTCTGGCATTCTAATTTGGTCTTAAACGGTAGAAACACAACAGCCATTATGCCCAAGCAATGTCACGATTTGAAGTTTTGTCTCTTCAGCTGCTATGGGTCCAGTAGCTAAGTAGCTGAGCTACGGACTGTCACGATGCGAGAGCCATCCGGCGAGAACCGTGCCGCGGAGACAGCGCCCAGGTGCTTGTCTAGAACGTGTGCGCATGTGCCATCCACGGACCAGACCTATACAGCCACGGAAGCAATTTCATTGATCGGGGTGCGGAGCTCCAAGAACTTGTCGTGAGGTGAACATCTATGTTTATGTTTCGCCCGTATCACCTCCTGCGACAGGTCCCATCGCTCAAACTAGTGGAGCCCTTACACACCTTCCGTCCTTTTCAAAGGTCCGAGCTGTCCTAAGTCCTAAATTATGCAGACCCTACCCAACTGCTGGATCCATCCCGAAACAAAGATGCCAGGTCCACTGGCGCTCCAGATAGGCCAAGCCACTCGTGCAGTGTGATCTTGTGAGGCCGTGAGCACCTTCCACGTACGCAGGACCCCGACCCATGGCCGGTATTGCGATGTACGCTGCTGCTTTGTGAAAGTATATAGGTCGGCTGATGCTGAAGCCAGAAGTGGAGCAACAGCTTACAAGCAATCAGCAGTCCAAATGTGTGAAGATTACTGCAACCTGGAGCCTGTTGGATCGAATCCGGACCTGTCCGCCCGACGGCGCGAAGGTTGCGGAATAGACCTGAAACTGTCGCAGAGGACGTGATGGCGGCTTTGGGGTCAGGGACCGGGGGTTACATGCTGCACAGGATATTGTGCACCTTGCTGCCGAAGTGGCGCTGTCTCTATGTAAGCTGACGGTGGGTCGGGTTCAAGGCTATAGGAGAGAACTGCTAGACCACGTCCGGCGCTTGGCATGACTGCTACAAGAAGCATCGTCATCACCTTGTTTACTTTACCTTACTTTACTGTCCCTTTGAGAATGACACTGTTAAGCCTGCATCGCACAACGCCTACGTCCATCTCAAACTAGCCCTAAACATGCGAGCCTACGCTTGAGGTACCCTACATGTAAACCCAAGCTTGGGCGAAAGCAAAGGTCCTTAAAAGACCTCAAGCCGCGGAGAAGGAGCCCCACCCCCAAAACGGCAGAGGCATGCCTGGCATGAGGATACATTTTGTACTCTGTAGAGTCGCCTTAGCTATCGTGATGCTACAAGGGCTGACAGCAGAGCGTTACTGTAGCAAAAACGTGCATTAGGCAGCCCTTGTCTGTGCCGGCACCACTATCAAACAGACAAGGACCCCTGCAGGCCTCCCCTCAATGCAACCGACAAGCTTCATCTGCATGGCCGGCAAGTTCAGCTAAGCAGGAGCCGGTCTCGACGCTCCAAATGCGAGCAGTGCCGTCCTCTGGGTATTTTACGACTTGGGGTTGTTCCCAGTTCGGGTTTTGCGGAACTCCAAGCCCAAAAGTCAAACTTCCTCCGTACGGGTTTGTCGGATGTCAAAACACTACGAACACCACCACATGCCCGACGACGAATAGAAAGTGGCTCTCTTCCTAGGGTTTAGCACACTTCAGGACAAAACGTGTTAGCATGCGGGTTTGACTGCACTGTCGACCCGAGGTAGTTCTGGTACGAGACCGGCGGGACCAGATCCGAACCCTGCAAGAAATTTTCAATGGGGCAGCACGGAATACGATGTGACTGCGTAGTACATGGCTCGAACGATATATAGGACATGCAGCAGGAGTGAGTACCAAGCCCACAAAACTCCTCCTGTATGACCCTCAACTCAAATGATCAAGAAATTTGAGAATGCACTGGCACCGAGGCCCTTTCGCTGGAACCCTTCCCAAGTAGCCGCAGCATGAATCAGGTTTCCAAACACCCTCTGTCCAGAGAGGCCGTGGCGACGGTGCTGCCACTGGGCGCAAACTCGACGCTGACAACGCTGTGGCAGTGCCCTGCAAGGGCTCGCAAGCACCTTGGCGTGGGGTCTGAATAAGTTGGGATCCTACCCTTCAGGCCTTGGCTGCTTCAGTAGGTGCGGGAATCAAAGAGGTGGCATGAACTACAGTGATACCCGAGAGCACTATATACTCCGAACTTAAGTCCCCACCTGGCAATCTCCAAACCGTATCTTAACAGCCAACCCCCAGCAGCGATCGGATGTCCCAGCCAGAGTCCATCATGGAACACTTCAATCGACGGAGAAGGTTAAGAAGCAACTCGACACCTTCCGGAGCTCCAGCTCCCGCAACTGGAACCGGCTGCGACACGTCGTCGATCCCTGGAGAATGCCGTCGGGAGCAACTCAGAAGCGACAAGGCGGTAGAACACGTGAGCTTGTCCACGGTCCGGCCCGGCCCCGAATGCAATCTTGCATCCTGGCAGACCTGTTAGGCAAAACAACACGGCCCGAGGGTCGGAGCGGCGCTGTGCCTCCGGAGTCTTTTGCTGAGAACAAACTAAGAACTCCATCTATCGATCTATGTATGGCGTGCATGTTCGGTCATCCACTGTACGGGAACGTGGCTGCTTTGGCCCACGTATCGTACAGAAGACTTTGCATGCCATGCTAACATCGACAATGTTAGCTCAGATTTGTTATGACTGTTTTTGGGATGGTGGTAGCAATAACAGTAGTAGTAGTAGTAGTAGTAGTAGTAGTTAGTAGTAGTAGTACTAGTATTAGTAGTACTAGTA